AAACAACAATGACGGCTGCAACCAAAAAATAGCTGGGCATTGTGGCGGGCGCCTGTGGTCCCAGCTACTTGGGAGGCGGAGGCAGGAGACTCGCTAGAGCCCAGGTGTTGGAGGTTGTTGTGAGCTGTAATGCCACGGCACTCTACCCAGGGGGACAGCTTGAGGCTCTGTCTCAAAAAATAAAAATAAATAAATAAATTTAGGAAACTGGACATTCCAAGTGATTGCAATAATGCCACTCAAAGACCCAGTGCATGAAGCACACTTATAGTGACTAACTATAAATTTAATCTCAAGTAAGAACACTGAAAATATAATCACTTTAATTAATTTAGTGGGATATGGTATAACCTTGTAACCTATGAAAGGGAATCTATTTAATGCATATTATAATGACTAATAATATGGGCCAGGTGCAGTGGTTCACACCTGTAATCTAAGCACTTTGGGAGGCTACAGCAGGTGGATTGCTTAAGCTCAGGAGTTCAAGAACAGCCTGAGCAAGAGCAAGACCCTGTCTCTAAAAAAAAACTAGCCAGGTTTTATGGCAGTGCCTATAGTCCCAGCTACTCGGGAGGCTGAAGCAAGAGGATTGCTTAACCCCAAGAGTTTGAGGTTGCTGTGAGCTATGAAGCCAGGGCACTCTACTGAGGGCACAGAGACTCTGTCTCAAAAAAATTACTAATACTTTTACTGTAAGAACATAAAAATAACAAAGGGAAACAGAGAACAGAGCATTCTTTGAGGAGATATTTTTATGCTCTCCAGAATTGCTGACTTTTTGGGAAATAAAAGTGGAAACTGCTGATCTTTCATCTGATTCATTTATTGGCTTGGTGACAGGCAGAGTCCTTGGTCCAGCAACACCAAGACAAGCCAAGAGGAAGAGGAAGACCTTCTCTAACCCTGTTTCTTCATCTGTAAAGTAAGCATAATCATCCCTAACTTTGCTATGTGCCCTGACGATTAAAGATGCCATATGGGCAAGGTGTGGCATGCACTCCTTGAGGGAGGCTTCCTTCCTCCATCCTCACCCAGCCATTTTTTCCCACTTCCAAATCCAGCACAACCCAATGCCCCCAACCCTGACCTACCCACTAATCACAGTAAGATAAGCCCACATTCCAGCTCTGCTACTGATGTGACCTTGACTTAACTTTTCTGGGCTTCAGTTTCATCATCCAGTCTACTTTGGTGGCAACTTCCTGAGCTATTTCAACAGATTCTTGGCAAGTCACTCCCTCTCAGGGTCTCAGTTTCTTCCTTGGTATAATGGACCAACATCACCCTCTATAGACATGGTAATTCCCAGATACACTGCAAGGGCAACATAAATGTTGGTGCCTTTCCCCAAGTGTGGTGTCTTGAAGTTACTTTAATTTTACTTTAAACGGTGTTAGCCGGACTGAACTGGTTTTGCTAAAAGATCATTAGAGTTGTTCCAAGTTTATTCACTTGCATACATGGAGAAGAGGGTGCGCTCAGAGGTCTAGATGCTCCACCATCTTCCAGCTGTAACACTGGGCAATTTACCTCTATGTCCCCGATTCTCATCACATAAAATGAGACTAGGTGCCCCCTCCCAGAAACTCAAGAGAATAAAATGAATTAATCTAGAATAAAGTTAGAAGGCATGTGCCCATCCCACTGTAAGCACTCAGTAAACGTTAACTATCAGTAACGTCAGAGTTCAAACTGTGCGGCAGCATAGCTTTTCTACCCACTCCACTTTTTTTTGTTTGTTTTCAGATAGAGTCTCACTATGTCGCCCTCGACATGTGACCTCAAACTCCTGGGCTTAAGCAATTCTCTTGCCTCAGCCTCCCAAGTAGCTGGGACGACAGACGCCCGCCACAATGCCCGGCTATTTTTTGTTGTAGTTGTCGCTGTTTAGCAGGCCCGGGCGGGGTTCGAATCCGCTAGCCTCGGTGTATGTGGCCAGCGCCGTAACCACTGAGCTACGGGCACCGAGTCCCCACTCTACATTTCCGTGGAGAATCTCTGCACTGCTGTCCTTGTCCAGTAACTAGACCAAAGCCCCCGGTGCGCGGCCTCGGCTCGCTTTCCAGGCCTCTCCTCAAAAGCCCTCGCCTTCCTCGTAGGAGGCCCAAACTGGGGCGGCTCCTTTTCCGGGAACACCCAGCTGCTGTGGTACAGGCCCAAGAGGCAAGACCCAAGAACTAGGGCAGGCCGCGGCCAGGTGCACCCTCCCCGCTGGTTCCCTGCGGGACAGGATGCCGGCTGCCGGCTCCGCAGCCTGAGCCTCGGCACCGGGAGTCGCCGGGCATGCTGGGACTTGCAATCCGCGGCCTCTTCCAACTAGCGGTAGGCGGCAGCGCGTGAACTCCAATCTCCAGGTGTCCTCACGCGGCCAAGAACGCGCCAAGCCTGCGAGTCGAGGGGGTCGTCAGCGCCCGCGTGGGCCCTGCCGCCACTGCCCCCTAACAAACATCGGGTGGGAGTGGAGAAGGACCGGTCGGCTACAAACCCTGGAACTCACCGACTTTGTAGGGCAATTTGTCAGACATGATGGCAGTGCTTCCGCACGCAGTGATGGACACGGGCGAAGGGGGCGGGCCTAGCACTGGGAACCGTAGTCGGCAGGCGGCGCCGGGAAGGGACCGGTGCTTCGCGCGGGGTCCTTTAAATATCTCCCTCTCACTTGCATATTCATGAGCGGTCCGGGGCGGGCCCAATGCCCGGGGGCGGGGCTGGAACCGTCGTTCCCCAGGGTGGAAAAGCCAGAATTTTACCCAGCGCTCTGCTATGTGTCTCGTGGTGGTCGGGAGGGAGTGCCAGGAAAGGCCTGAGAGCGAGCTTATGCGTTCTTTCATTTTGTCGGTCAGTAAATTCAAAGTGAAAACCAAGCAGAAATGAAATTCCAGCCAGTTCACTTCTTAGGGCCTCAATTTCCTCACCTGTAAGATGGACCAAATTTTACACAGATTATAAGAAAGGTGCTGTATGGCTCGGCGCCATATCTCAGTGTTTTAGGGCGCCGGCCATGTACACCAGGGCTGGCGGGTTGGAACCGGGCCTGGGTTTGTTAGCAACAGTGACAACTACGACAAAAAAAATAGCCGGGCGTTGTGGCGGGCACCTGTAGTCCCAGCTACTTGGGAGGCTGAGGCAAGAGAATCGCTTAAGCCCAAGAGTTTGAGGTTGCTGCAAACTGTGTCGCTATGGCACTCTTCCGAGGGCGACATAGTGACACTGTCTCCAAAAAAAAAAAAGTGCTGTATGTTTGCTACCTACCAAATGCTATTACCTTCCCCATTTCCAAGTAACCACTACCTGGGTTTAGGCAAATTTACATGCATGTCTTTATACTTTTACTATGTATGTATAAGTCATTAACCAATTCTTAATAGTTCTTTATGTGTTTAAAACCTTTATATCATATAAGTGAGAAAAGGAATGTGAGTTCTTTTATCAGAAAAGACATTAATAAAAAAAAAGAAAAGACAAGACATTAAAATTAGCCGGCACTCCTACTCCCCTCTTCGAACTACTACATATTCATCTGAAACTGCTTTTGTCACTAGTAGCTGTAAATGCTACACTGCACTTCAACGCTATAACCACACCCTGTAATTTAAGAATGGATAGCCAATCACTGATCAATTATATTTCCATAAACCAATGAGAATTCCTGCAAACAACTTTGTATCAGCCCACATTCTGCTTCTCTCTCTCTCTTTTTTTTTTTTTTTTTTTTTTGCCTTTCAAACCTCTTTGTAACAAAGGCCAAACCAGTCTGCATCTTCTAAGAAGCTGTTCTCACTTTGGCTCAAGTAACCTCTTTAAGTCATATTTTGTTTTTCAGTCCCTTCCTTTTAGGTTGACATAAATATTAAGGGTACTTACCCTTCTGCAACTTGCATTTTCTGTTAGCATTATATTTGTGAGTCATGCATATAGTTTGAGTGTATTCACTTTTGCTGCTGTATAGTTCAGTCATCCCCAGGTGTGGGGGGATTGGTTCTAAGACCTCCATGGATATCAAAATCCACCTATGCACAAGTCCCTCCTATAAAACAGGATAATATTAATATTTGCATATATCCTAGCCACATTTTCCCGTATACTTTAAATCATCTCCAGATTACTTACAACACCTAATAAATATAAATGCTATATAAATAGCTGTTGTGCTGTATTTTTAAATTTATATTATTTTTTGTTGCATTGTTATTTCTATTGTTTTTTTTTTTTTTTTTTAATCAGAGTTTCACTCTCTGCCATGGGATTATAGCTCACAGCAACCTCAAACTGCTGTGCTCAAAAGTAGCTGGGACTTCAGGCTGCTGCCACAAGACCCGGCTAGTTTTTTTGTTTTGTTTTGACCTATTTTTAGTAGCGATGGGGTCTCACTCTTGCTCAGGCTGTTCTCAAACTCCTGAGCTCAAGCTATCCACCTGCCTCAGCCTCTCAGAGAGCTAGATTACAGCCTGTATCCAGCCTTTATTGAGTATTTTGTTTATTTTTTTATTTTATTTTTATTTTTGTTTTTGTTTTTATTTTTTTGAGACAGAGTCGCCTTGGCTAGAGTGCCGTGGCTTCACAGCTTACTGCAAGCTCCAACTCTCAGGCTCAAGCGATTCTCTTGCCTCAGCCTCCCAAGTAGCTATAACTACAGGCACCTGCCACAACACCGGGCTATTTTTTGGTTGCAGTTATCATTGTTGCTAAGCAGGCCCGGCCGGGTTCAAATCCGCCACCTTAGGTGTATATGGCCGACACCCCTATTGAGTATTTTCATTCTGAGTTTGGCTGAATCCACGTGTGCAGAAACGGTGATGCAGAGGGCCAACTGTATATTATTATATACATACCATGATTTATTTATCTGTTCTGTTTGGCTAATGTGCAGGTTGTAAACAGACTATGGCTACTGCATATATGTAGCAATGAACATTTTTATACTTGTCTCCTAAAAAAAAGAAAGAAATTACTAGAGCTTTATAATAAATCTTGATACATATTTGGTAAGGAAGTCCACTGCATTGTTCTTCAAGGATATTCTGCCTATCTTAGGTGTTTATATGTTCGTAGAATTTTGGAATCACCTTGCCAAGTTCTAGAAGAAAAAAAGAATTTTTCCAGAACTTTTACTGAAATTTTATTAATCAGGAAATTATCTGGGGAGAGAATTGACATTTTTGTGTCATTGAGTATTCTAATCCATCAACATGGTATACACATGATATCTATATAGTTTCTTTCCATTTATGTAGATCTTCTTTAATGACTTTCAGTAAAGTTTTATATTATTCTCTATAAAGGTCCTGAACAAGAGTTTGACTAGTCAGCTATGATTGTGCCACTGCACTCCAGACTGTTGACAAAGTAAGACCCTGTCTAAAAATTTAAAAAAAATTTTTTTTCAAAAATTCCTGGGCAGCACCTGTGGCTCAAGGAGTAGGGTGCTGGCCCCATATATCGGAGGTGGCAGGTTCAAACCTGGCCCCAGCCAAAAACTGCAAAAAAAAAAAAAAAAAAAATTAAAATTAAACAAAAATTCCTGAATATATTTTGTTAGATTTATTCCTAGGTGATTTTTATGTTATTTTAAATTTGTCGTTTTTGGCTCGGCGCCTATAGCTCAACCGGCTAAGGCGCCAGCCATGTACACCTAAGGTGGCGGGTTCGAATCCCCAGCCCGGACCCGCCAAACAGCAATGACGGCTGCAACCAAAAAACAGCCGGGCGTTGTGGCTGGCGCCTGTGGTCCCAGCTACTTGGGAGGCGGAGGCAGGAGACTCGCTTGAGCCCAGGAGTTGGAGGTTGCTGTGAGCTGTAATGCCATGGCACTCTACCCAGGGGGATAGCTTGAGGCTCTGTCTCAAAAAAAAAAATTTGTCGTTTTAAGTTTTCTTTTTTTTAACTTTTATTCAGTGAGTTTTTAGCTCCTTTACTTTATTGTAACTTCTATATCTTTTTTTTTTTTTGGCCAGGGCTCAGTTTAAACCCACCATGTCTGGTATATGGGACTGGCATCCTACTCCTTGAGCCACAGGCGCCACCCGTTAAGTTTTCATTTTTTAGATATTGGTGGCAAATATATAGAAATGAATTGATGTTAGTAGATTGATCTATTTTAGCAGTTTTATTGAACCCTTACTTGCCTATAAATTCTTTTGTGTTAACTATGTACACAATCATATCATCTGTGAATAATGACAACTTTGTTTCTTATGTCCAATCCTGACATCTTTTTCTTGCTTTACTGCGTTAGCTACACCACTAGTACTATGGTAAGCAGAAGAGGTGGAAGGGCTGGGTGCAGTGGTTCACACTTGTAATCTTAGCACTCTGGGAGGCCAAGGTAGGTGGATTGCCTGAGCTCACAGTTTTAAGACCAGCATGAGTCAGAGCAAGACCTTGTCTCTAAAAATAGCCAGGTTTTGTGTTGGGCACCTGTAGCCCCAGCTACTTGGGAGGCTGAGGCAACAGAATCATTTAAGCCCAGGAGTTTGAGGTTGCTATGAGCTATGACACAAAGGCACTCTACCCAGGGTGACAGTCAGACTGTCTCAAAAAAAAAAAAAAAAAGAGGTGGAAGTAGGCACACTGATCCCCTTCTCCTACCTCTTGTGTAATTTTTTTTTAGACAAGGTCTTGCTCTGTTGCCCAGCCTGGAGTGCAGTGATACTTCACTGCAGCCTCCAACTCCTAGGCTCAAGCAATGCTCCTGTCTTGGCCTCCAGAGTAGCTGAGATTATAGGTGTGTAGCACTACACCCAGCTGATTTTTATAGGGAAGGGATCTTAATATGTTGCCAAGCTGGTCTTGAACTCCTGGCTTCAAGTGATTCTCCAACCTTGGCCTCCCAAAGTTCTGAGATCATAAGCCACTGTGTCCAGCCATATGCTTAAGTTCATTGATTGGCTATTTCCCTTTGCCCAGTAACTGCTCATTTTATCATCAAAAGAACTCTCAAATCCATCCCCATGACAAATGGCCTGATCCCATCCCTTGCCATCTCCTACCTAGACCAGTGTACCAGCCTCCTCACTGGTCTCCAAGCATGTAGCCCAGATGTACTCCTTCTATCCCCACCCTATAGCCAGCATAATTTTTTTTTT